GTGAAAACACTGCCCAGTATGTACTACATAAAATATGGCTTTCCATAAAAGAACAGACCATTGTTGACTCATGCTGGGGAAAAAGGAACTAATTGTCAATGATCTATAAAATGTGAACCAGTCTACACATGTAAACTGATACTTTTGTAGAGATTTTGTTTAGTCCCCAAAAAAGTCAAATCAGTTTTATTGAGTGAATACAAGCAGAAGAAGTGATGGGTTGAAACAAACAAAATATACAATGACAAAGCCATAAACACAAGGCTTAAAACAATGTAAAAGGCTTAGTTATACACTGGTTTTAATTTTGCTTATTTCGCTGACTGGAAAATGCACTAAATTAAAATCCAACAAATAAGTAAAATTGAATATAGAACACATTATCTAAATGATAAAACGAGAATTTAAAACCAGCTGAATATGCCTGCAATGGTAAATCAGCAAAATTTAAACCCAGTGAAAATTAGTCATTTTACAGTAACAAAATATAAATCTGGACATCCTAATAAGTGTAAGGAAAATTTGTATTGCTGGCCAGATCAAATTGTTGAGAATAGATACTCCAATGCATTCATCTGTGTGCGTGCTTCAAACTGATATACTGTGAAATACTTTCACTTGGAATAAATTTTCGCTATAGAAATGATTCAGTGAAGAAAAATCCAGCGAATATACTTTTTTCCTGTATTTCTGAGGAAAAATAGGCAAAACGATTAAGTCGTCATTGATTTTCACAACACATTTTACAATGAAGAAACAAACCTGTTCATAAAAATACGCACATTTTATTACAATACGATTTACATATTGTGAACTTACAGTGCAATAATGGGTAGGGTCTGTGGGGAAAACAGTTGAAGGCATGATCTTTATCATTATCTTCGTTGTGGAATGTTTGATTGTACATAAACTCTCGATACAAAGCAATTACTGCCATGATGTTTTTCATATTAACACAATAGTGTCAATGGACACGATTATTCAGAAAAGTAAAACCATGTTCCATGACGGCCAGGTTTCACGACTTGATAATATTTTTGGAGTTTCGAAAACTACTACTCAAAAGAAATATGGATTACTTCAGTTTTCTCATAAAAGCAGGAACCAAACTACTGTACCAATCACGATTTTTATGCAATGAAAAGCACTTTTACATGCATATTTGTAAAAAATGTCATCGACACTCTGTAAAAACACCCTGGGTCTATACTCAGGGATGTCATAAACTCGTTAAATGTCCAAAAACAGGGGTGGGCTTGTACTCTGGGAAGTACGGTAGAACAAAGGATTGTGGGTAAAGAATGGCCAGTGTTGTAAAAAAAAAAAAATGAGAAAATTCACTTGAGAAATACTGATGTGAATATGTTCAAATTCAGTGTGCACCTTACTCGTGTATATGTTGCGAAGACACAAAAAAATAAAGATATTGCTAAAAAAAGTAAAATATTTGTTATGTTCGTTGTCCCTTTTAATGGTTAGCAGGTTTTACATAATATGTACAAGCTACTAATTGATAAATTGTTTAAAATACACAAAGAAATGAACATTTGATAGAAAATTGCACAAATAAATATTAGTTCCGGTGTCATGACAACAGTTTTGTTTTTGTATTGGTTGGCACTAGTAAAAGCTTTGTGTTCTCCCAAGAGAATTGTCGCATGGTTGCAGCTAATTTGCTAAAAATGTACACTTTTTTATGGAATTATGAATCATTATGCATTAATTCATTAGCTGATTAAAATTGGATATACTTGTATCAATAAAATTGTATTCAATATTAATTGGTAACATTGTATACAATTGAGGTTAGAATAAAATTGAACACCCCCCCCCCCCAATTTTATCTACCGGTAATTCTTTTCAATTGTGCACATCTGGCGACAGTTAATTAACTGCTAAACCATTGCTGCGTATAGTTGTCTAGTCAATGAATGTATGTCGTGGATGTAGACATCTCTGGCATCATATTTACTGACAATGATGGTAGATTTATTGATAGTGAAGTACTTCTCAATTACATCATTGCCATCAAGCAGTCTTTGTTGGTCCATCTTGACTATAGTGTAATGTCAATCACCAAATACAAAACTAAATGGCACATAAGAAAAGAAACAAGCAGCCTCTCAGCTGAGATGCAAAACAAAAAAATGTAGCTCCGCTGTTAGCAATGCACATTTCAATTAAAGAACAGATATATCATTAGAAAATAAACAATATGCATAGTATCAATGCAATGGGACTTGCCGTTTTCAACAAGAATTCAAAAATATAATTTTTCACCATAAATGATTGTGGTTTTTAACAAGAAGTCGAAAATATCACTTTTCACCAAAAATGATTGTGGTTTTTAACAAGAAGTCGAAAATATCACTTTTCACCAAAAATAACAAAAATATTCATCAAAATTAGAAAATTGAAGATATCATGAAATGAACAAATCTGAGAGAGGTCTACCCAAAGTACATATACACCAAGTATCAAAGCATTCAGGCTTGTAGTTTTCAAGAAGAAGTCAAAAAAGTAAAACATTGACAGGGACGACAGACAATCACTCGTATGATAAGCTTCGCTCGACAAAGTCAACAGCAGAGCTAAAAACTATTGCAACGATACAGAAATGCAAGGTCACATTTAGCAAGCTTAAAACTACAACACCTAATATTAATTCTGCCAGTGGTAATGAAAAACAAAATGATTATGCTATGTCGCTTTGGGAAGAAAACTGTACGCTTCTATGTTTTAAACTTTCCACTAATTTATTGTCCTTGTATATGAAATCACTAAATTTTTCACATCAGTGGCTATGATGTTGTACTTTACCCACAATTCTTTGCTGAAGAATCAACGTTGTGGCCAATACTGATTACATTGTACAAGTTGAATTTCTAAATGAAGTGATAAAAGTGATACAAAACCCTTGTAAATTGCAAACATTTATGCAACTTATCTGGACACACGTTTGCCTATCTGTCTCCTTTGGTATGTTTTGTATTCCACAATATAAATGTTGTAATTTTGAGACCAGATTTATGCATTTCTTGAAAGTGAACTTCATTAGTCAATTTCAGAATTTTTTTGTTTTTTTGGTGAATTGTGTTGAAATTTATCTAAAAAACAGTACATATTTGAAACGAAACACATGTTGTTCAACCCAAATAATAAAAACAATTCCCAACAAATTCTGGCTATGTAAATATTGTTTAGCATTCATTTAATTTGACAGCTTCACTTATCAATACAATGTACACAGTAATTCTCAGATGGACCGGAACAGGAAGTCAGTAGAAGACAAAAGATTGTCCTGTTTGTGATTGGTCCTGGCAACATTTTTTTTAAATTGTTAGTTACCGTATTACCCCGGGCACGCGCCCCTCCCTGGGCAAGCACCCAACCCCCCTGTTTTCACAAAAGTTACATGTTGGGGACATCCTCGGTTAAACGCCCTGGGTGATTTTTTTTAAGCCAAGAATTAGGTCAACAATAAAGTTGTATTTGTCAAAAACGAACGAGTTTGATTTATTTAAATAGTGTGTTTGTTACGGTAGTTCTCTTTTGGGAGTATGTGGTGGCCCTGAAAAGGGCAGTTTTGTTTGTTTTTACGTAAAAACTCATTGGAACTTAACGACACAAGATGAACCACGCAGCATGTAGCGCAAACGTTCTGCTTTCTCCTCTTTCACGATGAATCCAATATTGCAAATAATCCATACCTTGGTGAGTGGTTTGAAGCACTTAGCTTTGGTTTCAAAACGTAGCACTTCGCTGACTGTGAATCCATAATGGGAGCACAGTCAGCTGGCATCGGTGTCGCTGGGTGTATATGATAAAGGGAAGTTGTGCAACCAAATTTGCCGAGTTCGCAGTTTTTCGGCAATAAAAATATAACATTCCGGAGGGTGTGAAACGAAAGAGTATCGCCAGGCGATGGACGCGGGGCTTTTTTGGCAATGACCGCAAACGTATCTGTGTCCGTGTCCAGCCATTGGTTGGCCACGTAGAGGTCAAAATACGCGTTCTATTTTTACGCGTTAAGTTTGGCTCTACAGTTTCACCCCCTCCGGAATGTTCTACTTTCGCAGCCTAATCGCAGGTTTTGTATGTTCAGGCCCCCTGGGCGCGTGCCCGGGGTAATACGGTACGTCAATTACATTTGAACTTAATGTAATGCAGCACTACTTGAATTCCAATAGCTGTGTCTCTGTATACAAGAAACAAATTACATGAAATTATAGAAAAATTGTAAAAATGTCTTGTTGAATCTGGTGGCACAAAAACAAAAGCTCCCATCTTATTGTGGCTTTGGAATCTTTACAGCAAGTATTAGGGCAGCCAATTTGCAAACTCGCTAGCGAATATTTGGCTAACTGCTTTGGTTTTAACTAAATAAACGGTTGGCGTTGGCATGTGATCACGTCTACTCTTGGTGAATCTATATTGCATTAGAGGACATAGAATGTTTTTACGCAGCCTGTACATGTCTGGATTCCCCTGAATGTTTTGAGCCCGAAACTGGTCAGTCAGCTGGCGTACATATGATAAATACGATTAATCCACCGATATTGGCAGGACTCCAGAAGACGTACCTGCACTATATGCATTTTTTTCGAAATTATGCTAATTTATTCATGACGTAGCAGTTTCTGTGATCATGAATATTCATTAATTTGTGGGTAAATACATTCTGAAAAGGGGCTGGGCAAATATTTTTGAGGGAAGAGTTAGAAAGGGGGATTAGCAATCCTTAGGGGGTCAATACAAAAGAAGAGACCCATTTGGAGAGCACCATTGCTCTTGTGTTGTTGCACACGACCTGCAGCTGTCAACTGTGTTAGTACTTCGACGACCTTCCATGCGAGGTAGTATTCTTGTGTTCTGTTTTTCTGACTCTAGTTCTTTATATACAGAAGTTGCTGTTTATGTTTTTAACGACTTTCATATCTTGTAGGAGTGTCCTGTCTGATTTGAACTTTGAGTTCCCAGCGCACTGTTTTGTCCACTGTCTTCACACAAGTGATAGGATTTAAGTCTTACTTATAGGAGCACTGTTTTCACTAGCATTCAAAAATCGTGCTAACCGTACTGGATTCGAACCAGCAATCTCTCACATTGCCTACATTGTACATATCCACTGAACCATATGGATAGTCATGCAAATGAATGATTTGTTTTCATATTTAGCTTTATTGCAAATTAGTGTTTGCGAGAAAATACTGGCAGAGTATATATATATATATATATATATATATATATAGAAATACAACATATTTCTATTATTGAGTTACAATTGTCCACAAAATTGCCAATTTTGTGTTTTTACTTGTGTAAACTATATGCATGCCATGACCCGTTAGTGTACATCTTGCCAATTGGGTGCTATTTGCGACCCTAACCCTAATGCCAAGACGCGTTCCTGTTAATAATTGCTCAATAATGATACTCTGTTGTGCACTGTCCACGGGTAAGTTGCATTGATGTTAACTGATTAAACAAGTCA